GCCCAGGGGGGAGAGACAAAGTCTGAGAGACAGGAGGGACAACGAGACCATGCTGGGAGAGGGGACCAGAGGGCAGGGAGGGCGCCCACGCAGACACGCCTGGAGAGGGCAGAGGCTGGCACACCCAGGGGGGAAAGGCAGAAGGGCCCCAGGGCTGACAAGAGAAAGGCTGAAATGACACCCACCCAGTCAGTGCCCAGGCAGCGGATGCCGGAGCTAGGAAGACCAGAGTCCCGCAGCGGGGACAGACAGACGGACACACCCTGAGGGCCCTAGGAGACACACCCTGAGAAGCACTGGTCCTGGAGGCTGCCTGCTCCGTACCACCTTCCCCTGCAGAGGGAGACTCGGGGTCCTCCTCCGCACCTCACTTAGCTCGAGTGCAAACCGACCTGGAGAGAGCCGGAACCTCCAAGTTCTTAAACGTGGCCTCTTGTGCAATGTTTGGCTCTGGCTGTGCGAACCTAACCCAAGAAGCCTCGCGGCAACACACGGCCTCTGACCTAGAGGCGGAGGGGGACTGAGGGGGAACAGAGGGGAAAGAGGTGACGGGGCACAGAACAAGCCCTGATGGAGAGGCCACTGGGGCGCAGAAACCTCGAGGGGGCCGCTGTGCCCAGGAGGGTGAGAAAGACCAGGAAGGCGGGTGAGAAGGGGCAGAGCGCCCCGACGTGAGAGGACAGGCTTGGGGAGGCCCAGGGACAGACCAGAGGGACGAGGAAGGGAGAGGCTCTGTCGGGAACGGCCACTGGGCTCCAGGACGCAGAGGGCCTGAGAGCCCCCGAGGAGAGGACCTGTGCGGGTGCCTGGAGCTTCTCCCATAGGAGGGGCAGGCAGGCAGCTGGTGCCTGGGCCCCTGGGGGTACTCGGAGCTCTGAGGGTGAGTTCTGTGAGGGCCAAAGTCCTGTCTGTCCCGTAATAGGTGACATGAGGGCCTGGCACGGTGGCCACCTGGCCGCTCAGTACACCACGGGCTTCTGTGGAGAGAACGGCAGTGGGACCTGTCTGTCCGCGGCCGGAGACTGCGCTGTCTGCTGTGCTGTTGTGGGGTCTCGGGGCACGTGCAGGGCACACCGGAGGACAGCTTTCTGTGCTGAGAGGCCCTCCCTCAGTCAGGAGCCACCTCTGCACCGGTCAGTCTCACTTCCTCCTAAGAACTGGGCGAGGCTGGCTTTGGCCCCCTTTCACAGAATGGAAGATGGAAAGGCGAAGAAAGTCAGCAATGTGGTTCGAAGGGGCGCATGAAGGGATTCAGTTACACCTGTCTGTGTTATGTTACTGCAGAGCCTCGGGGTCGGGGACTCCTGGGGGAGGCTGGCCACCGGGGGGCATGCAGGGGCAGTCTCACTGCAGACAGGGTGAGACACAGATCCGAAGGAAGCACGAGGCCAGGCGGGACATGTCCTGGGCTCCCAGTAAGCGTTGAATGAGTGAACGCACATGGCGGCGTTCTGAGTCTAAGTCCCCTTAAGGTAAGCCCTGCACTGAAAGTCTTTTGAATGACACAGGGCAGTGGCTCTCAGCCAGAGGTGACTGGCTCCATGAGGACGTTGGGCAAAATCTGGAGACTGTTCAGACTGGACCAGGAGGTGGGGGCGGGGGTGTTGCTAAACACCCTCCAGCACGCGGACAGCCCTCATGACTAAGAACATCCAGCCCTGGGCCAGCAAATGGTATAATGACTATGTCGCTGGATTTCCATGTAGTCAACCACAGTTTGAGTCCCAGACCCGGTGGCTTAAACTCATACTGGGCGTGCGTGCATGCCCAAGATCCTGAGGAGAAGGGATTGCGGCGTGACCATCCCCCCTGGGGGGGGGTGATTTCTTGCTTTGTCTGTCTTTCTGGCGAGCACACACACCCTATAGCAAAAATTTCTCCCCCCCTCCAAAAAAAAGGAACATCCAGCCCTGGGCCAGCAACTGGCATGCTGGTTAAAGCTGCAGGACCCCACATGGCCGGCTGAGCAGTTCAAGTTCTCAATCCAGTGGCTTAAAAGACATGCCAGACACATATGTGTGTGTCAAGAGGAGAATGAAGGAGAAGGGATTATGGTGTGGCCATCCCCTCCCCACAGAGCGATTTCTCTCTTCGGGGAGAACACACGTCTTAGAAAAAATTTGTAAACATAATAAAAAATAAAGCATCCAGCCACCAGAATGGCCCATTCTGGTTATTTGCGCAGTTATGTTCTCAAAAGTCACACGTGTTCATCAGCCGGTCCGTATACAGCTCGGTGGGGAGAGCTCCTCACAGACCTGACCTCTAACATCATCGACCCAACCAGCACCATGACTCGCGCTGAGCAGAGCTCACCTCTGGGCACACCGCGGCCCTGCTGCAGTTGGGAACCCCAGACAGCATGTCGCTCTACCTGGGGGACAGCCAGAAAAGGCCCCAACCCACACTTTAAGGAGCCGGAGGGAAAACCGTGATTTCTAGGGCGAGTCGCGAGGGGAAGACAAGGAGCCTCAGGCAGGCCAGCCCCAGCTGGGAGTGTGTTCGTGGGGCGCCTCAAAATGTTCGCTGCACGTGTCCACAAAAGAAAAAACGCAGAAACGTCTGGATTGGGAGCATCCAAATAAATTTCCACGAGCAGGTGGATGTGCAGATATGGAATCAGGACCGATGAGGGTCGACGGTGTCCACAGTGAGAATCATGCCTTGTGTGGGAGGAGCACCTGACCTCAGCTCTGGTCGGATACACGGCCTCTGGCAGACCTCGGGCAGGTCACTAACCCTGAGCCTGCGTCTCGCCTACTGTGAAATGGGGGTGCACTTCCCTCCTTCCCAAGTGGTTGTGAAGAAGTTTGCTGAGGACCTGAGGGCGAGCGAGGGTCAGAGGCTCAGCGAGGAGACAGCACTGCTGAGGTGGGAGAGCCCCGGTGAGACACATTGGACTCCGTGTACAGGACCCCATCCTTGGGCCAGGCAGCAGGGTGGCAGCGCTACGGGGGGCCCACAGGGAGAGGTCGTGGGTCTGCGCCCTGAGTTGAGACCGGAAGTGGATCATAGAGCGGAAATCCTACTGGGCGTGCCTGTCTCTGTCCTTCTCTCTCAGAAGAAATGAATGAAGACACTTAAAATAACTTCCTAGAAGTCTGTCCACGTATAGAATAATTGCAGCAGGAGGCGGGGCGCTCCTTGCCTCCAGAGGTGTTCAAGGTTGGAAGAGTGCTGGAGAAAGAGGTGGCAGGGATGGTGACAGCCCTAGGTTCAGACTAATGTCCCAGGCGATGGCGACTTGCCTCAGATCAGAGGGCACCAGAAAAAGACCTCTGACACCAGGGAAAAGGGGGAAGCGAGGAGACCACCATTTGTTCAGAGCCTGCTGTGCTGGGAGTGGATCTCCTCTGATCCCGAGAGAGCCGTAAGGTCGGCTCCGACCTCGTTTTACAAGCAGAGGCCGGGATGCACAGGGACTCGGCAGCATGGTCCGAAACTCACAGTGAGTTAGAGGAGCCGCAGTCACATGGGCCCAGCTCTCCCGCCTGTGTGCTTTGGACTCACACTGCCTTGGGGTGCGGGGGGCACGGGCATAGACGAGAACCCTACCAGCTGCAGGGGTTTCTTACTCCTCGAGAAGCCAAGGAGTGGGGCAAAGTGAGGGCCTGTTGCCAAGTCCTTCTTTGCTGAGCCCTGAGAAGTGGCCGATGACCCTCTGCCTATAAATTGGAAAGAAATTCCAGGAATCCAGTTGCAAATCTGCCTCCTGCTCTCTCTCTTTTTTCTTTTTCTTTTGCCATAGGGTGCATGCATTTGCAGGACAGAGACAGACAGTGAGAGGGAAAGTGAGAAACCGCCCCCTAGGGGGGATGGTCGGTCACACCACAGTCCTTTCTCTTCCATTCTCTTTTCAGGATTTTGGGCATGCATGCACATGTGCCTAGCATGATTTTCAAGCCTCCGGGTCCAGGACTTGAACCACGGTCGCTATGTGGGAGTCTTGCCACCATGACACCTGCTGGCCCCTGCCTCCTGCTATTGATTCTTGTCAAAAATTTGAGACCCTTTAAAGCAGGTGGTCTATCCTTAGGGGGGCTGTGGGTACGCGGCAGGGGACCAGTACACTTGGACAGGAGAAAATAGCGTGTCTTTATTTTCATTATTCTCAAATAAAAGGCAACCGTTCCTCAATTAAGCATGTAGGCGACAAACCCTGCTAGAAGGATGTGGGCGACAAACTCCGCTAGTCTCAGCAAGACCTGTGCCTGTATCCCCAGCAGACATCAAATATTTCCATACCCCGTCACAGCGGTGCAGGTCGGCTGCAACAGTGGCCACGCGCCCCCTGATTTCAAAAGCAGAGTACTAGGCCCCCCCGCCAGATCTCGCAGTCTAACACGCTGATGAGAAGGCTCCCATATTACAATATCGCAAACCTGGCTTTTAAACATTTTGATAACTATTTCAGCATAACGGCCCTCTTTTGTTCTCTTACGTGTTTTTATGCAACACATCTGCAAGCACTGTTCTGAGAACCACGCCAGCCTGCCAAAGGGATGCGTGCACCTCCCAGGACAGCCGGAAGGAACGAGTGGGGTGACCCATGTGGAACGCGTGTCCAGAAAACGACCAACACCCACTACAGGTAGTGGGGAAACGCAGGCAGGGTGGGGACTGAGAAGAACAGGATTTTAACGGCAAGCATACCCTGGGGGATGTTTATCCAAGAGATTCTGCCTTCCCTCTGGCCCCCCAAGTGGGTAGAAAGAGTTCGGAGAAGAGTCCGAGAGGCAGGGATGGAAAACAGAGCGAAGAAATGAGAAAGATGAGAATTGCCAGGAGAAGAAAGAAGAGGCTGAACAGATGGGAAAGAGGCCCCAGGTGGGGAGAAGAGAGGGGGCCCCGGCCCGTGTGGCGCCCCTTCAGGATCAGCACGAGGCACAGTGGGGTCAGGAAAGGTTACGAAGGAGAAAGGGACAGAGGCGCTAGGCAGGCTGTGCACCGCTCGGTCCTCCGCCGGGTCGCTCCACCGGTCACCCCGCCAGACCACCTACCTCAGTGGCAAAGAAGCCTTTGGGCCGGTGCTTGCCCAGGGATGCGAGGCCGCCAGGCCCGGGGCTCTCGCTGGCGCTGATGGTCTGCTGGGCCGCCGCCAGGATCTCGTCCAGTTTGTCTAGGAGGAGAGGGGCGGGGAGACTGAGAGGAAGCGTGGTTTGGGCTGGCTGCAGACAGTGCTGCGGGGCCCGCGGCGCCTTGTACGAGCCCACCCCGTGGATGGGCAGCCAGGGCCCTGGGTAGCGGCAGCCAGTGAGGACAGAGAGAAGGAGGGCCAGGGAGACAGCGGCATGGCTGGGTTAGGGCACGAAGGCGATGAGCTGGGGGTGGCACGAGGAGGGCTGGGGCCGACGTGGCACCACCGGGGGAACCGCGGCTGGGCGGGGCCGTCTTACTGAGAGCCATCTGATACACGGTCCGCTTTTTCTCCATGCTGGGCACCGGCGCAGGCTGCTGCTCGTACTCTGTGGGCAAAAGACACGGATGAAGCCCAAGAGCGCCCCGGCGGGCAGGGCGGGGCGGGCTCGGCCAGTGGGCGTGGCCGGCTCGGCCAGTGGGCGTGGCCAGCAGG